CTGCCTACCGATTGTCCAGGATTCACAGCCATGTGTTATGTTAAAACTGGATGTATGTAGCAAGCAAGAATTCTTTTTCTAACTCTCAATGACAAGGATATATTGCACAAGATGTTCTTTATTTTATAAAATGCAGTTTTTGCCTGTCCTATTCTGTTTCTTATCTCAGTTATGCATCTTCCATCTGATGTTATCCATGTGCCCAGATACTTAAATTTCTGTACTTGTCCTAAAATAACACCATCGACTTTTATTACACGTAGTTCTTTCTGACTTGTTGCTATCAAGACTGTGTCATTAGCATAACGGAAATTGTTTATATTGTGCCCACCAACCACAATTCCGGGCATATCCATTAAAGATCTCATTATATATTCAGTGTCCCCCGTGTGGGTTCCGGGGCCCTATTGTGGGAAAAACAAGAATAGACCCACTGCCTCCCCAAAAGCATGTCGTAAGAGTCGACTAACTGGGGAGCTTCCTTTGAAGTCGGAGTGCATCTGCCTGAGAGGCAAGGAACCAGCAGTCTGCATTCAATTGAATCAGATCTGTAAAACTGATGCACACGCAACACTCAGGTTCTGGAGCAGGACTGCAGTCCAGAAGTGGACGAACAACCAGAACTTTACACCAGAGTGTACAGATGGTGAACGCAAAGAAGAAGAAGAAGAATATTCAGTGTATATTGAAAACAAATCAGGTGGTAGTATTCATCCGCTGTCGTACGCCCCTCTTTATGCTGTGAAATGTACCTAAACAGCTGTTAATTCTTATAGCTGCTGTTTGCTGCCAATACATATTCTTTATTATTCGTAGATCTTTTCCGTCAATGTTTAATTTTTCTAACAGTTTGATTACTTCTTCATGCTTCACACAGTCAAATGCTTTTGTATAGTCTATGAAGCATAAGTACAAATTAGTCTTATCTTCTATAGCTCTTTCTGACAATGTCCTAAGGATGTACATGGCATACACACACACACACACACACACACACACACACACACACACACACACACACACACATATATGTATATATATAATTACCTTTAACTATCAGTATTAAATATAATTACTAATTACTAAACCTGTGTAAAAAGTAAATAAAAAGTAAAAGTCCTTTTTCCACGCCTTTAGGTATATAGGGCTAGACCTATATTTGTATCGACCAATCGGCACAAGATGGGTGATGTGGTCAGCATCACACCGGTCGCCTTTACTTCTGGGGACAGCACCCTGTACCCACTCAACGCTAGGTCGACACTAAACCTGTGGGTTTCCTAGAACTGGTATCCAAACGTGTGGGTGTCCTATAACTAGTACCTAAACGTGTGGGTGTCCTAGAACTGGTTTCCAAACGTTAGGGTTTCCTAAAACTAGTATCCAAACGTGTGGGTGTCCTAGAACTAGTACCTAAACGTGTGGGTGTCCTAGAACTGGTTTCCAAACGTGTGTGTGTCCTAGAACTAGTATTCAAACGTGTAGGAGTCCTAGACGTAGTATCCAAACGTGTGCGTGTCCTAGAACTAGTATCCAACCGTGCAGGTGTCCTAGACCTAGTATCCAAACGTGTGGGTGTCATAGAACTAGTTTCGAAACGTGTGGGTGTCCTAGAACTAGTAGACAAACGTGTGGGTATCCTAGAACTAGTATCCAAACGTGTGGGTGTCCTATAACTAGTATCCTAACGTGTGGGTGTCTTAGAACTAGTATCCAAACGTGTGGGTGTCCTAGAATTAGTATCCAAACGTGTAAGTGTCCTAGAATTAGTATCCAAACGTGTGGGTGTCCTAGAATTAGTATCCAAACGTGTGGGTGTCCTAGAACTGGTTTCCAAACGTTTGTGTGTCCTAAAACTAGTATCCAAACGTGTGGGTGTCCTAGAATTAGTATCCAAACGTGTGGGTGTCCTAGAACTAGTATCCGAATATGTGGGTGTCCTAGAACTAGTATTCAACCGTGCAGGTGTCATAGACCTAGTATTCAAACGTATGGGTGTCCTAGAATTAGTATCCAAACGTGTGCGTTTCCTAGAAATAGTATCCAAACGTGTGGGTGTCATATAACTAGTATCCAAACGTGTGGGTGTCCTACACCTAGTATCCAAACGTGTGGGTGTCATATAACTAGTATCCAAACGTGTGGGTGTCCTAGAACTGGTTTCCAAACGTATGGGTGTCCTAGAAATAGTATCCAAACATGTGGGTGTCCTATAACTAGTATCGAAACGTGTAGATGTCCTTAACATCCAAACGTATGGATTTCTGAAATTAGTATCCTTGACATCTTCTACCCGTCTTTAATTCACCATAAATGATATCCTTGGGGACTCTGCCATCCTCTACTTTCCAGGTGTGACCTAGCCTGCTGAGCCTTTTCTGACTGAGCATTGAGAAGACGGTTGTGGGAATTTTATAGTTGTATAGACTGGTCGATACTTGATAAGGGATGTATTTTACATCGTGCCGGTCGTGTTTATTTTCCACTCGACATTTCCTGATGTACGCCATAAGTGGGGCCAATTATTGTCTTAACGTGCCTGGATTAGAATTCTAAACGTCTTCTCAAAGTGTGAACCATCGTCCGCCAAATTACTTCTGAATGTTATTGTTCAGCCTTTTAATACCAGTAGATTTTGTTTGAAATACTTAGGGAGATAACAGACACAATGAAAACAGCATTGGTGTATTACTTTCAAAGAGACAACATTTATCATTATTATGCAGTATGTTAGCATATCTAACCAGATATCTTTAGCATGCTCAGACCAAATGTAAAATATATAACTAACGATGATTCGTTTTTGATACACACTGTTTATAACTTATCACACACTTTAAGTGGGACAGTAAGTGTAAATATACACCACTTTTATGTTTACTTTGTGTGTGTGTGTGGGGAGGGGGCGGGAGTATACTGTTTATGGGGTATTTATTTATCCACTCTTCGGATTTTTTCAAGTCTCATTTTTTAACACTATAACTAGGTTTCCATTTTCATTTTGTTTATTTTTATTTGATTGATTTTTATTGTTTTTCATTCGTCTAATGAAATTGTTACAACACAGAAAATACTTTATCATTTTGTAGTTACATATGTGTGTGTATGTGAGCGTATGTGTGTGTGAATTTGTGTGTGATTGTGGGTTTGTGTGTGAATGTGCATGTGCGTTTGTGTTATAAATACATACTAATGGTAGCGTTAGTGAGGAATAACATTCCAAAGTAACTTAACGGGTTATGATGTGCACTTAAAGAAGACATCTAGGATTAGCGTCTAGGTATTTTCAAAATACTGAGTGTCAGGAATGTCTCTTTAAAAAAAAAACATCTACGAAAATTAAAATGCTCGTTAACATAAACTCGCTTAACAAGAACACTCGGTTAACATGAAAAATTAATGGCCCTTGCAGTGGTGTATCGGCTAGACGCTCGCATTCAGGTCGGAAGGTCGTGAGTTCAAGTCCTGAAGGTACCGGATGTGTTTTTCTTAAATGGGTGCTAGGTACAGTCCTGAGAAGTAAAGGTGGCGGGTGTGATGTTGATGTTACCCACATCACCCACCGAGTGCCTGTTACCCTATAAAATATAGGTATAGCCCTAGATGCGTAATGACAAGGTAAAGGTCAGGAAACGGATCCTTTATTTTCGGTCTAGGGTTCATGTTAAGATGGTTTACTGTATAAAATGCTTAACTGTACCCTTCCCCTTTTCACCCCTTTTTTCTAACCATGATTAGTTTGTGTTTATACATATAATTTGCATACGTATATTCGGTGGTTTCTTCTTATTATTATTAACAAGCACAGGGTTAAGGTCCCTCCAGCACCCCCCTTCCAGAAAATCTAAACTGGGGTGGAGCCCCTCCACTGCTTGGTTTCTATGTTTCGGCGACCACAGTTGCAACCAACAGGAATGAAATCATTCGACAAATATCCGGCTAGTAAAAGGTTCATTTACCTGTCTGGAGAAACACGTGTCGCTCTAGTGAAAGCCGTAGGCATCATCTTGATGGTGGTTATAAATACCCCCCTTATGTAAGCTATCTCCAGAGCCCGCTAGCGGGGAGCCTGGCATGAATGGCGTGATATATATTTGACGGCATCTGTGCTGTTTTAAGGGGCTTCCGCACTTACGCTAGCATGAGCTCTCAGAGCTCTTCAAACAGGCTAAATGCCAAGGTGATGCCTGCTAAACAAATGCGTGTAACATATGTTGGATACTCTGCTCACATATCTTCACACGGGGTTTGTAGCGATATATGAGAGTGGTCTAACATATGTTTTTCAGTAGCCTCGTAAACCATAGCTTTATTTTGATAATCTCTCCGATACTAGTGTTCTACGTGGGCTTTATAAGGAAAGCAAACAGGGAGTAACATTGTAGCTTATCATGCATGCTGTAAGATCCAAATAAGGAGGGTTGGCTAGAGATTGACTACCTCAGCGTGTAGAAAACTATAACTGCAAAATCCAGCAAATTATAACCTACAGTACACGCTGGAGATGCCTCTTTCTTCTTCTACTTCTTCTCCTCCTCCTTCTTCGTCTTCTTCTTCTTCTTTTTTCTTCTTCTTCTCGTTCTTCTTCTTCTTCTTCTTCTTCTTCTTCTTCTTCTTCTTCTTCTTCTTCTTCTTCTTCTTCTTCTTCTTCTTCTTCTTCTTCTTTCTCCACCTTGTCTGCATTCTCCTCGCCCCTCCCCTCTTCTAAGTTGGAAGGGCACTTTGCATGTTGTGTTGTGGTTTACCGCTAGGCTGCTTTATCTGTACCTTTCGACTTAACACACTGGATTTAAGCAAACGTCTATCAATTAGTTGTCTTTTACGAAGTGCTCATAGGGAGCAGTGGATGTTTTCAAGTTTAAGTGGAACACAGGTAGGGAATTTTATTTTTCTAGTATGGTTTGTGAAGCCATCTTCTATCTGTTGAATTATATTAACACGTGCTCCTTTTCTTTACTTGCAGACTACATCACTAAGTAAACTAGCACACTTGTGTCAGCATGGCTGGAAGGCAACGAGGTGCATCAACTAAGCTATACAACTCGTTGTTTATAGTGGTTTGCCTACTTTGGTGTGCAGCCAGCCAGGCACACAGCGAGGTGGATCTCCCCCCTTTAGACAAACATCTAGAGGACTCTATTGCCACGGACATGCTAAACATTGTTGACAAGAAGTTCGAGACTTTAACCACAAGGATCGCATCTCTGGAGTCAGCCGTGAACAGTCTGCAGTACTACTCCATTCGGCATATCCGTGAGATGAGAGGAAGATTACAGAGTACGGACAATGACTTGGAGACTGTCAGAAAACAGGTTCTCAGGCTTGACTGGAAAAATTACGCGGACAAACGACACACAGACGTGGTAGTTGTAAAAACCAACGGTTCAGGTTGACAGTGACTGTTGTTGATAATAATTTAAATGTGACTGTGACTTTCCGTTTTAAAGCAACGTTTTTTTTTCTTTTATGAATTTACATAACAGGGACAATACACACTATCATCATTTTCGTTATCATCATGTTGTTCTGTTATACGTCACATAGAGCTAACAGTCTAGTCCTCTATTCCCTTGAATCCTGTCCTTCTTCTTCTTCTCCTGCGTTCATCCGAAGATGTCATTGCGTTGTTTACAGCATGGCTGCGATATTTCCACCTTTCGGCCAACACATCTGACTTCTGCGGGCATTTGTTGACCGGGTTAGCCTTCCCGGTTAAATTATGTACAATCCTATCGATATCAAGGATCGAATCCAGTCTAGTACTTCTGGTCTGGCTCAGCAACGTTCATAGATGAGCTACATTTGGGCGCCTTCGTTTTCTTAGTTTATTTATTTTTCTATTTATTGTCTCTATGGTGATTATCTGCTTCTCTTTAGCAAAGAATATATTGCACAATTTGAGGTTTATAGTTGAGAGGATCGACTTCGTTGCGTAAGATTGTTATCAGATATGACTTGGTCTCCCTCTTCGCAGAACAGCTAGACTCCTGTCCCGGGCGTCGCAAAAAAACAACATGACCACCGTAGCTCCTACGACGACCCCCCTGAAACTCCATAAAAATTGCACTTCTGAACAACCGAAGAACACCTGTGAACAGAAAGCTGTCCATGAAACCAATCACAGACTCTCAGAGCGCCAGTTAAACGCCTTAACCACTCAGCCATGGAGACCTCTTTCCTGCACATTATGTTGTATGTACATCGGCAGATGCATACTGAACAATTTACGTCAACATATATTCATCATCGATTAGTAGGTCGATTACAGAACATGGCTCTCGTCTCGACATACCTGGCCGTCTCCCCCCCCCCCTCTCTCTCTCTCTCCTCTCTCTCTTCCCTTCTCTCTCTCCTCTCCCCCCCCCCACTATCTCTCTCTTTCTCTCTCTCTCTCTCTCCTCTCTCTCTCTTCCCCTCTCTCTCTCCTCTCCTCTCCCCCTCCCTCTCTCTCTCTCTTCCCCTCTCTCTCTCTCTCTCTCTCTCTCTCTCTCTCTCTCTCTCATGGCCAGTGCATCTTCAGTGCTTTGTATCCACATTCGCTTAAGTCGGCCTCGTTTACCGGAAATCGCACCCTACATTAACATTCCTTCCAGGCCACGATGACGCCTAACATGGCCAAATTACCTCATCTTTCGGCATAGGATGCTGTTTACGAGCCAATTCTCCTTAATGTTCAGATCATGTAGAATGTCGTTGTTTTTCTAATTCTTGGTCCGAGGTATTCTAAGACTTTTTCTCATGTGCTACAGAACAAAACAAGGAATCCTTTAAACTGTGTTATTTGTGTATTTCACGGGAAAGGATTCCACTGTGTGGGCCGTTATATCGTGGTAGAAATTCTGAAGAAGGACTATATATAGCGAAAAATGCAAAGCAAAATATTCTTTACGTTTAAATTATTACTTGTCGAGAGTTTCGTATCCTTTTCCAATTCTTTACTCCACTCGCTTTTGGTGTCAATCAATAGTTGCGAAATTATTTCTCACACAACGGCTCAGAAAACAGTTTAGTTACGGCTTGCTTGGGGGACTGCTAGGAAACTGGACGTGGGACGAGAGTGGATTTTTGGCTGACCGTTTGTTTTGACATGAAGATAGGTACCAGCGTAGTGATTAGATGTAACGTGTTCTGTTCACAGTTTCATGTAAAGTAATAGTTGTAACTAGAAGCCAGACCATGCTTTGCTGGTGGCGTTAACACTGTCGACGCACTTAGGCCTACACATTGGCGCATGCCATAACGTCTTTGGCATCGAGATATAGCGGGTTGAGCTGGCACTGTACGGGAGAGTGGTAGCGGCTCAGAGCTTAATTCATAAACGTGTAAAGGCGCCTCTAAGCGATTTTAAAGTTAGACGCGGCCTGGGTTTTGGATAAGGATCGCTACTCCTCCTGAGGTGTACCACCACTTCGTTTGCATCTTTGGTAATAAAGATTGTGTGTGTGTTGCAACAAGTGTTTGGCTTGAGTGTGTTTGTACGGTGTTTTCCTGTCATTAGCCTATAGCAGAGCCAATGGAATCGAGCCCTAGACAGTTAGGTTTCTGACAGGAAAGTTACGGTAGAGCTGCCGCTAATTTTCTTTGAATTCTCCACATCGTGAGATTTCTGCCAATGAGCGTAAATCTGCCTAGAAAAACGACAATGGCCAAACATGCTGGGGTTATATCTGCAATGTCTGTAACGGAAACGTAATTAATGTTTACACCCCTTTGAGGTCCCACCACTCCTTTTCCGCCCCCTCATCTAGAGATTGTGTAAAGCCACATTAGGGTTTAGAATCCACGTGAAGATTAATTACAATTGTTACTTCATCTCACAATCGCTACTCCTCAAATTTTGATATCAATAGCCTTTTACAAACAACAATCTAAAATAACAATGAGGGATTAGACAAACAGTAGCAGAAGGCATGGTGACAGAAATGAGGAGCAAGGGTCAACAAGCACAAAGATGGGCACAGGATATAAGTGACACCTTGGGTAAGAGAGTGCAGGAGGCAGGAGATGTGGAAAAAAACGCCGAGTTTCTTAGGCTGGCTGTGATAAGAGCGACGTTCTGCAAAGGACCTGCTTCGTAATGAAGACTGGGATAGAAAAACAAGTTCTTTTGTGTCCTATCCTGAACCGAGCAAAACCAAATGCAGTAATTCCTTGGTCATTTGCGAGTTTAATGGAAAATTTTATTTCCAGTTTTAAAAAAAAATAAAAATAAAATTAAAACTCTGAAAAAGACAGAAGTCGAGTGACAAACTCTCCTATAGTCCGTTCCAGAGTCGTGCCCAGCTTAAAAATCTAATTCGGTAGCCGTTAAGGGTAGTTTGTTGAAATATGGCATACAACTTGTTAATTATCATTGTCTTGTAAGATTGATTTTTTTTTTTTTTTTTAGGTGATCAAAAATGTTGTTTTTCATTATGCATTTTTTTTTTTTTTTTTTGGGTATTTGAAAGAACAGACAACGATGTAAAGCAAACAGTCAGTTTGCTTACAGATGTTTGAGTAATGGGAACTTTTCAAAACAGTAGATTCCATGCGTTTCATATGCGTTTGACTCCAGGGTGGTCATCTCCAGCATTGGCCTCCTCGAGTTAGATTAACAAAATATTTCATTTTTGCAGGATATGGCTATAAAATAATCACCACGAATGTGAAATGATTTCTAAACTTTGTTTTTTAACGCGTATGTCAAATGCTGTATAGTCTACATTTGTGGTCAAACAAGGATCAAATAAATTCTCCGTTTTAAGAAAACATCAGTACCTGTGCAACTGTGAATTATAAAATCATAAGAACATGGAAAATCTAAGACTACGTGCAAAAATTTCATGTAGATGTGTACAAGAGTTTTCGAGATATTTGTTAAAGTGTGAGGCCAAGACTTTTGAAACGGACTATAATAGAGAGAACTAAAGCGATAATTGTCTGATAAGAAATAAACAGTTAAACTGTATGCACACAAATAGAAAACTAATGATCTTATAACAATACTTACGGACTGAGTAGAATAACTTTAGGATGTCTAGTATAACTTGATAAAACCGTTACAAATAAATATTGCAGCAATCATTAGACGATCATTTTGTCTTGTAGGTTACCCAGTTGGGAGACGAACAACGATCACACAATGCTGTTGTCAGTGTCATGGCTACTGATGTGTCAGAGTTGAAAAAGAGCTCAGCTGACCTCCTGGGTGAATTTGAATCAAGTGTGTTTTACATTAACGAAAACCTGGATAAACAAAACAAGGATCTCAAGACACTTCTGGAAGACACAGTGATCAGAAGTTCCCGCGAAGTCACTGAACAGATTTCTAAGCAACTGGAAGAAACGGTTCAACAAATGGAACAATTGCAAGTGAGAATTATTCCTTGTCTTAATGTTATGAAATATTGTGTGACCCACTCGGTACGATTAAAATGAATGTGTTGTATCCGTGTGTGTGTGTGTGTGTGTTTGTGTGTGTGCGTGCGCGCGCGTGTGTACGAGCGTGTGTGCGTGCTTACGTTTGCGCGGACATGTGCGCGTGAGTGTGTGGCGTAGGTCATAGGTCGTCATGTTTCACCATTTCAAATTACCACGAAAAAGTATCACATTAGAGGTTCCGGGTACTTAGCATCCTTTGGATATTTTATGCAGGCTATGTGGTGTGTGGGAAATGAGCAGGCGGATAGATGTATGACAAACTTGATGTTGTGAGGGCCTTCGGGAGCGAGTGAACTGTGCAGAGGCACAAATAAATCATTACGGTCTGAAGAGAATGGCGCTGCGAGGAGTTACAAGTGGATCTGGCCAACGTTTGACACTTCGGGGAAAGGCGAGACGGATAGATATACAATTAGACAGTTACTGATATTATCGAAATTGGAACTCTTCGCCTGCTGCTTAAGATGGGGACGGAGCGCTTATATGGCTGCCCCGAGTGCTATGATGTCAATTTTTAATTCAACATTCAACATATCTCATTTTGATCCTCTGGGACCTTGAGGAGTTGAGATGAAGC